AATATTACTGATTTAAATCGACATTGACCTTACATTTTTACTTACACCCACAGGCGAAACATCAATGAGTCCACTGTCCCCGATGTCTCCGGGAGAAGCATCTTGTGGGGAGAGTGTTCCAGCGCGGGCCTCCCTGGACAGTGACATGTTGGTGGGAGATCACTCCGACACTCCCGACGCTGGGGAACGACCTCGGCTACAACGAGCACATGGACCTTCGAAGAAGACTTTCAAATTCCGACGTAGTAGGCACACGAAGCCGGATGTAAGACCTAATATACTTTTTAATTATTTTTTATGTAGGTTACTGGCTACATGATACTTCTACCTAAAATCTCTTACGTACACTCTCACAAACACTATCTAAGAGTCACTCAAGAAGACAATTTTTTTTGTGATGAACTATGGAATACAGCACTCGACTCATTCGGACTGATAGACATTTCCAATGATTCTATAGTTTGGCTTTCAAAACTGCTTTTTAGGTCTAGTTAAAATGATTTCACTTTAGTATTTGATCTTTTAAACCTGACTTCAATTTATCATACATACTTCTTTTCTTACACAGGTGAGCCACGTCCGCCTGGAATCAGACGACGGTTCCTCCCCTGGGCCAGAGACTACTCCTCTACGTCGCGCCTGGTCACAGCCACCCTTCCTGCAACCAACCTACATCAACACAGACACGTCATATGACAGTGAAATCTCGCAGACGTCCTCCACGTCTGGATACAGGCTAGCATTACCCAACCTTCAGTAAATAGACGACCAATACTAGGTGTGGTCAGCATGCAGTCTCGATGTACAAAACCTTACGAAACGGGTTTTATGTCGGCATGGTTGTCAGTCATCTGTTTTGTGTGCACGGAAATTGGAGTGGTTATAAAATTTGTTTATCAATTCATTTGTTTGGTGTTTTCTGCAATTATGCTTTACGTTCTACCTCAGGTATCGTTCAAGCCGGAAAGTATGAGTCTGATAATTTCAGTGTTGATTCATATACCTACTCTTTGAAATTACACAGGTAAAAAATATTACCTATGCATATCATTGGCTAGCAAATCATTAAAGTAAGATATAATTGGACTTAAAGAATTATTACCTACATGATGTGATGATAGTAGGTACGTGTGAGAGCGCGTATCCATGGTTGTATGTTGCAGGGAGAGCTACAGCCTGCAGGCGTCGATGACGGAGTCCCCGGGCGGCAGCGCGCGCGTGGCGCTGGCGTCGCCCGAGGCGGGCGAGGCGGGCGCGGCCGCGGACGGACGCTCGTGCAGCGCCACGCCGCACGCCAGCCCCGACGGTAAACAACCCTTCGTATGTACCGCTCTACTTATACGCAACCCCCCGCACTCTCGTCTCTATCTCTTTCCGCCTGTCGCCTCCGAGCAGTCTCCTTTGTCGTGAGTTATCGTTCCGTCTTTGCTTTGTCATTTCCAGGTAATTTAGCGATGTTATGTTACAATTTTGTGCAATCCTCCCACCATCTTAAAAAAAAAATCCCTACAAGGCCGGCAACGCACTTCTAACTTGGTAATGCGGGTTTCTATTAGTGGCGCCAATGGCTTACCATCCAATGATCAATTTGCTCATTTGCCACTCTATACTATAAAAATATTACAATAAATAGTCAACAGATTTGATTATTCATCAAAATTGGTACCAATAAAAAATTGTAACATTTCATCACTAAATGATCCTTTCTTTTCAATGTTGCTGCTTTTGTATTTTTAAATAAAATAATTGTATAAGAAACTCATACTAATGCAATATTTTTCTGCCTAGCTTCTCTAAGCTGCGAATCGGGAACATCGTCTGCAGAACGGACCGCCTTACTTGGTGCTGCGAGTCAGCGTTCTCTATTGTTGAGTAGCGACTTGCGAGATGAGGATACTCTACTTTGAATACTCATTTCTATTTAACATTGGCATCTGCTAATGCTAATTTAACAAACACTGAAGAAAAGTAAAAAAATTACAAGGGTTTTGAAACCATTTGAGAGTTGTATAAGCGGTTGACAATTTTGACTGAAATGTTAATGGCTAATAATAGTGTAATTTGCATTCCTCTTTTGTATGGTTATAGAAATGTCTCACAAGTTTAAACACAAAATTAGATTTATCAAGCACAATACTTGAAGTTCTATAGTTCGAATCCATTGTACTTTAGACAAATCACTAAAGGTGGTAACCAGATCCAATATGTAACACCAAATAATAAAAGTTAGACTTTTGAATGTTATTAGTAGTTTAATGTCGTCCTTAGATATCTATTTAATTATTGTTATAACTGTCAATGAAAAAATAGAAAAAAATAGTTAATATTGATAGTGATGTCATAGTTGAAATACTACAGAGTCTAGTTTAATAAGTTCCTAAGTTACATTTTTAGAAAATTTTAATAGACACTTTTGTTTCTAAAACCTTGTTTCATTTCTTGCTAATTAAAACACCATTTAAAAAAATACTAATTGTTTATTTATCACAAATCATGCTTCTTTACACATCAAAAATGGCTGTAATGCTACTTGAATATCAGGATCCAAGGGTATTTCATGAATGTACTTGGAGAAAGTAATGGCAATCTTATAAATACTTCTTTTCACTGATGAGATCAGAGCAGTCTTCATTTTAATGGCAAAACTATCATTCAAAATATGCTTCCTCGGCACCAGGCCTGGTTTTGTCAATTTATCCAGATTTTGTTTCAGGTTGATTAAAGTTGATATAACAATAGGCAAGTCATTCTGAACAACTCCATATTTGTCTTCATTCAACGAGGCAGCAGCAATACTGGCTAAACCTTCACAAGTCCACATCACTGGCTGAGCTTGCATCAACAAAAACTTTAATTTAGTGTCAGTAAGTTCCCCAAACAAATAACTAATACCAGGTTTTTGACAAAGTTTGTGAATGAACAAATTAAAATCGTCTTTAACAGCATTTATAAATGTGTCCTCTTGTTTGTTCTTATTGTGATCCTTCAGTTCTTTCAATTTAGGAGATTCTGCCATATTTCTCAGATTTCCGGAGAATTTAAATCCATTACTTGTCGATACATTTCCATTTCTTAGTTTGGATGCCTCTGCTTCATTAGATTTTCCATCCCCATTAACAGCTTCCAGTTCTTTACTGAAGTCATTAATAATGCTAATGCACTGCTCCAACAAGTTGTTCCAATTCCTTGGGTGTCCACCAGGTTGAGAAAGTGTGTATATCTGTTGCCTCCTTGCCAGATCAGTCATTGACATAATTCTCATATCTTGTGCTCCCAAGTATCCATTAAATTGTGCTCTCAGAGCCAAAGCATTGTGTAGCACCAAACTCGAAGAAGATTCAATGGGGAATTTCATTGGCTCAGTAAGAACAATGTTAAAAATAGTTCTCATTGTGTAAACTGACACAAAGAACAGGCTTGTGTAAAACCAAAGTCCAATCCAAATTCCAGATTTCATCAAATTAAAGACATTGTCTAATGGAGGGTCTTCTAGATACAAGCTATATGCCTCCGACACTAGGCTTCTTGGTTTATTTCCCCACAAATAGTAAAAAGCACAGTAATAAGCAACTGGCATCACTGCATTCCTAAATCCCATTGAGAGAATGTTGTTAACAGCCAATTTAATTTGCTGGAACTTGTCTTGGTAAACATGAGGAAACATAAGCATTGTAGTTCCAAAGATGTGAATGTTTAAGAAATAATACAATCCCATCCACATGCCTCCAAACTGGAGAAAAAGACTTGGCTCTACCAGACATTGGCCATCATAAAAGTCGCACTTTTTCTTCAATATGTTGTAATTGCTTTTTGCCAGAGATGAGTACAAGCCCATAGTAAAGTAACCACTGAGTGCATACAGTACACTGAACATAGCATTTTGTACGGAAAACATATTCAAGAACATGGAGAACCTAGTGAAATATTTAGGCAATGGCATCATGTAGTAACTTCCATAAACGTAGGCTTGAAAAAAAGAAACCAATATAAGCAAAACGATGTTTAGTCCCATCTTCCATCCAAATATATCGTGTAGAGTTGAAGTAATCCATGACACGGGATGCAGAATATCCACTTGTATTAGAAAGACTAGAACAACGGCAAGAAACGTCTGGAGTCCGATGTTCCATAACACTGAAATAATGAGTCTCTTGGAGAAAATATCACTTTGTGTTTCCATGACGGCCGTTATTTTTTATTTCCTTACACTTTTCGGTTATTATTTCAACTTGATGAATAGAACTGACATAGTTATAAAATGTGGTTTCTGTACTTTATGGGCCTCTAATTTTCAACTATAAGATATATAGAGGCAAAGGCCAGGTTAGCGGCTTTTTAAAAAATAACCTACAACGAATTCAAAACGAAGTCCAACCGCACGAATCACAAAAATAACCAAACAGTGACACTGACATCAACTAGCATGACAGACAGGAGTTAAAATGACAATTGAAGATGATGATGCTACAGACAATCAATAGACAAGTAACAAATGGGGCTACCGTTTTTTTTGCTCACCAGATGGCGCAAATCTAGGTAGAAGACTAATCTATCCAATCACTGCAGCTGTCAAATATTCAACGTCTAACGGTGTCCAATGGTGTGATACTAGCCCGAAGAACCAGAGGTTCACGCTAGCGCCATCTCGTGAGTAAAAATATAGTAGCCCCCATTGTGTTGTTAAGAAACTTTCTGATGAATAAGCTGCGTTGAGTTGACGAAAATATTTCCTTTTTTCTAACGGCCCTCTTGATATCAAATTGTAACTTTTTTAACTGTAGCGTCATTTATTTTGAAAATTGTATCCGTTTTCTGAATATTGTTATTAAGTAATGAGATCAAAATTAATAGTTTCGTTTAATAGGGAAATGGTTTCATGTCATCAAAAATAAAAGGCAATTCAATTGATTTCTAAAAAAATAATAAACATAAACTGACAGTTTATTCTGATGTCATTGAACAAAACTGAAACTTCTATTTTTTTATCTGTGTCGAATTGTCGATGTCGATGGATGTGCTTTGCTTTCGCTTCTACTATTTTTAAAATGATATCGAAATAATCTGAATTAAACGGTGGTGATCAGTGAAATACACTACATAGTTCATTTATAATTAAAGTTACAGTTAATTTGATTTCCTATAAGATTTAACTCAGTTTATGTGGTCGCGTAGTCAAGTGCCCTACATTTCAACACTTTTTATTCAAATGGAAGAGAATTGTGTACATATAGTGTTTCTGTTTAAGGGAGTGACTTAATGTTAGGTTTGGGATGGAATATTTGTTTAGGATATCGTCAGGTCGGTTAGGCATTAATTGAGAAACTCTTGTTATGTATACTTTAGTAGAGATAGCTCTTAGTGTAGGGGTGCTTGTGACTCTCGTTACAGCACTCGCAGTATGTGTCTGTGGCTGCAAGAATTCCAATCAAAAGTAAGTCCGTGTTTATTTACATATTTATTTATTTTACACCATTACCATATTTGGCTATATTACCTACTCTGTATAACAGAACCAAATCACACTATAGTGAGTTAGTCTTATTAGAATTTCTTCATAAAATATTATATTCCACTAAAGAATTACATATTTAGTAGCTAGTTTCATATTATGTGATTAATTGAAAATTTATAAAGAACTTAGTTATAAACTTTAATATTATTTTTAGCATATTCATACTGTACCAAATGTAATAAAATTATTTAAATTTAAGCATTCAAAGTGATACTATTTTGTGAAACATTTTAGAATAAGTAGTCATTACTTAAATTTTTTATTTATTTTTTTCCTATATTCTTTACAATTACAAAACTATAAATAAAAGTTAACATAAACTCTATAATTATATTAATTTAAAAATAAATATTTTTATATTTAACAGAAGTGAGTTGGTTGGTATGGCCGGTGTGGTCAAAATACATTTTGATGAGGAGGCCCCGTCTCCGACGCCTACCACTCCGGCCTCTATCAAGCGGTTTGTTATAGATCTAGCATGACCTAGACTAGACATTCCTAACTAAAGGGCTAACATAATGGTCAAGATATTTAACCAAACAATTAATATGGATTTTGAACTAATTATTTTTTTTGTACTGTAGCACCTTGGGTAAACTTATAACTAGAATTTTGAATGGGATTTTCTTATTAACTTTCTAACAAATTATGTTTGAATTACCTTAACAATAATGATTTAGTTTCTAGAATATTGCATATAACAAGGCCTTGATATACCTAATAATAAAAATACTTTTTTAATTCTACAAGTATAGACTCTATGTATAGACAGCTAGTAATATTTATGCATCTGGTTATGACAAAAATAGGCAGTTGGTCATAGGCAACTATCTATATATTTCCTGAATTGTTGTATCCAAACATTTACCTTGACTGGATTAACAAAATAATGTACTGTGCTCTTGTTTGCTAGTACACTATTTATAATTATGGGTTTGCATGCTGTTTATTAAGTATAATATTATTTGTTCATAATAAATATGTCTTATTTAAGATTTATCATAGTTCACTAAAATCCATATTAAATACTATTAAGGATAATAATAAACAACCCTTCTATTACAGCAGGGTGTGCAAATGTTTTTCAGTATTTTTTTGTTTTGCTATTGACTATGTAACATCTCTATTTTATCTCCTATTTCATGATAACTATTAACACTAATACAAAATACCCATATCACTAATTAATTATATCATAATATTTTACAAACCTCTTTGTAATGGCTTACTACTAGTTGTATAAAAACTACAATGCATGAATGATAAAATAGGCTAATTGCATGTATCATTTCATCAACACACAATGTTTCTTGTTAGAACATGTTAGTCATTTTCTGAATCAGCAGTGCCTTAATTGAATAGATTGTGTTTAATTCATTTCATTGTTTCTGCTTCAAAATTAAACCATTTAGTTATTTACGTACAATCTAATAAAAAGATAAAAATGGTAACATTTCAATTTCTTAATATCTTAGGTAGATACCTAACAGAAATTGGAAAGTGCCCAAAATGAGTCACGTAAACGAATTTCGATGACTCACAAATTGGCGATTGCAGTTTTTTCTTTTTCAGAAGGCAATAATGATCAGTGACGAGTTTTTCTCGTCAAACTATCGTTTCTATAATGTTATCTTTCCAGTTTGCGATGACGGGGAACATTATGTTATTTTATAAACAAAAGAAACAACAAATAGATACGCCCGATACGCCATTGAAACTTCCAATTTTTTGACAGACGAAAGTGTAAATTCCTCTTTTCTTCGGTCACCTAACTATCAGCCTAATCCTTCTGTTCCGGTAGACCGTCTATTAATACCGGTTGGTAAGGCTAGTAGTCGCAAAACCACCAAACCAACAACTACCTAATTATTTAATAAGCCTATAACTAATCGGAAAATTATGATGTAACATTCCGAAATATCAGTACAGTGGCACAGCTAGTTTCGGAAAACTAATTTTTTGACTAATTGACGCCCCTTTTTGTGTTTTATGTTTCCCTGCAGCTCTAGATTCTTACGCTTACCCAAGTTACTAATAATCCCGTGTCTCTGGTAGCGTCCAAAATGTCTAAGTTCCTTATATACCTGAATCACCTGAATGTCTATAAAGACAGGTATTTAAATGCATGGCTTCGGATGACGAAACGAGTGACACGACGACGAACGGTTTCCATAAAGCCTATCGAATAACCGATATTCGAATTCCCAACATACTCGACCTTATTCCAATAATCCAATATTTCGAACGTGTTTTTATATTTCCTAGATTAACATGTGTAAATAGTTTACTTACTTAGTCCTGGTCACAAATAAAATATGTACCTGTTATGTTATCAATTTCTTTAATAAATATTAAGGTACTGCAGTCGGTTGGTACGATTCAAATCTGAGACATGTCTTCACGATTTGCTTACTTGAAGCGATCATTACCCTTTATTTTGTGCTTTACCATGACCTAGAACTTTCAAAATGTTATGGCACGTAACTAATAATGGAGGGTAACATTTATAGTGACATTTTGGCTTTTACGACTCTACTCTTACGTGATGCACGCAATTCTTTTATTAATTTAGCTTTATTTTCAGTTTCTGCGAGAGCTGTCGTTGTATTAATGTTTGTTTAGGATCCCTTCTGAGTTACAGACTAACGATAGTAAGCATGCGATGCTTACAGTTTAGTTTAACAGCGGGAAACACTCGGAAGTTTTCCGTCAGTCTTAATTAGCGAAGGGATTCAAATATGCTAGATTCGCGGAGTGCTGAAGAGTGTTAAACACTACTGTCTGACACGTTTTGTTGGACAAAACGTGTTGTATAGCAATATTCTTTTGATTATATAGGCATTTCTTCATACAGTATTCCACAAATCTCTAAAATCTATTAATCGTTTTAAACACCATTTTAAAATCTTGCAGCAGTTCATTGCCTTCTCCTAATGTAGTACATTATAACCACAAAGCTTCTTATTAAAAATACTGTTTCAAAAGGAAGTTAGTTAGACTGCCTTTAGATTTTAATTTGAGCAGTTATTTTCGTATTGCTCATTTATTTGTTATGCCTCATTGACAGGGCGTCTACGCAGAACAGTCAGCGAAGTTTGCCAGAAATACCACACCCAGTGGGGAGACCCGACAGCGGCGACACTGCTTCAGAAATATATGCCACCGTGAATTTGGATGAAGGTAACGTTCTAGAATGCGAGTCATTAACTGCTAATTACATTGCAAGACATTGATTGCGATACATTCGATTGATCGATATATGAATCCATTAATTCTGCTCCAATGATTTAGGTACTAACCTAACCAATATTGGTGAGAAACCTATGTCGATATTTTTTGCCAAGTGAAAATCACTAACCAAAACTTGCCCATGAAGTTCATAACAACTGTCATAAGTTATTAGACAAACATGTTGCGGTGTGACCTACGAAACCTCGACACATACTTAGTTCTTCAAAGGTCGCGGGCGAAAGTATCTGCATCTAATGTCTTGGATGTTCAGTTTTGAAATCTATGTCTGTAGTTTTAAGTGTCAACTTTCCTTGTTAAGGTCCTGTCGTTCTTATTGATCAGGCGTCTATAAACTATGCATCTAAATAGTTCCATTCCTGCGTGACGTGTTAAAGTAATATATTTTTATATCTATGTATACTATACAAATTATACATGTCACGTTAAAAATGTTAGCTTGTTGCGCACTTTGTTGTGTTAATTAACCATGAAGTGTATTATTTATTGTGCACTAAACACAAGCAATTGCAACGTTCGTACCTTCAGAACATTTACATAAATTATTTATTTTATTTATTGTTTGCATTGTGTGAAGTGCACTGCAAATAATTTATTTCTAATGGCTTTTTATTACACAAACATAGAGTTAACCGGAAGCGTGCTATGGACTATGAGAGAAAACGGTTACGGCTCGTAAAATATCATCATATTTTAAAAAGAAAGGGTTTTCTAAAGAAAATCTATATGAATTAGAGCGATTATGCCTACGGTCTATTGTTGCTAATTAAGATTATGCCGATATTGTTATAAGGGGTCCGAAAACTTGAGTGAATTTCCTCTGGAGTGATTACAAATGCAAAGAGATCCATAGTTCTTTAATGTTAAGTTTGATGATTTTCGGCTTGGAGTCGGATCGCTTCTTCTAAATCACCGTGTATTTATACTTTCGTCGTCTCGATCTCGCCTTTTTTTAATAATTTTATTGTAGGTACTCTATTAGAATCTACCAAATTTACTTTTTGACACCATAAGATTAACGTTGGCTTGATAGGTTGACTGATTTTTATTTTAATGTCCGTCTGGTAGATTATTTAAAACATTAGACACGTATTTATAATTTTCTTACGGAAACAAATAGTTTCGAAGATATATTGATTTCAAATATCACATGACATCACTTTTGAGTACGATTTATACTCTAAAATGACGTAGCTACCTCCCACTTCTAAACTTTTACGTTTGATCTATGTATTGTTTTCTTATACGACAAAATAAAAAAATACATGTCTAATATTTTCATTACCTAACTGACGGATTAATTAGATTTTTAATTTTCATACCTTGTCATCATCCCTGTTGCCAATTCTATTATGATTATGAAATAAGTATAAAATATCGACAATAAAACTGCGGATTATTATCCGATCGAACAGATGGCTGCAGTGGGTTATAAAATGCAGGAACCAGTTTAATGCAACTTATATAATTTATTCATTAATGCAGACATGATCAGGAGTGGCGCATTAGATTTTAATTCAATGGCTGTATTTAGATACTTTCCTGTCCTTTATGAATCAAATTATAAATTGGAATGAGGTCCTTGTTAGCCACGTCGTAGTAATAAAAAAGTAATAAAATGCTTTAACAAACTGATATGGTAAAAGCGACCTTATTTATACCCAGTTTTTAGAGCATCAGGGTAAAATTCATTCTTGTGTTACCTATATTACCCGCTTGTTCTATTGTTTTTAAGATTCTTATAACCCTATGGTACTATAAATTTCTGCAAAAAGAGTAAGAGATGAGACTGTAGTAGTGATAAAGAAAAAGGTATTCGAAAAGTCGATAACGCGCGAGCACCGACTTCAAGTTTAAATACATCCAAACCCAAACGCTTTGGTAACCTTCCGTAGTTACATCAGGAATCAGGTGGACCATAAGCTTGATTTCCAACTTAATGGTACAAAAATCTCCCACCATGTTTATGTCAATAATTCTAGGAAAAATAGACGTCATTAATTTTACTTCATAGGTACTCGTTACGTGTCCACTATAAATAATTATTTATTTATTTTCCTTTGTACCTTTTATCATCACGTGTCTAGATTGTTATTTACTATTTAAATTTAATAAATTCTGTCATGTTTATGTTCCTTTGTTTATAAGCATAAAACAATAATAAAAGAAAATCTTAGTTACCAGCTTTTGTAATAAATCTATTTATCTATGTCGCCTATATAAAGAAATTACTTTAATATTGCAAACATTTTATTGATATAAAAACATTGTACATAATTATAATCGTCATAAGTAGGTATATGTGGTGTGTGTAGAGTCCGTCAAGCGAGTCTAGTCCCATGAAAAAGGCGGTAAATTCAAAAATCTTTCAGTTGTCAACACTGATATAGCACGCTGAAATTATTATTTTTTTATTTATTTCAAATATGTTTTTTTTTTATCAAAAATTCAAGTATCAATAAGTTTTCATGGGACTAGACTCGCTTGACAGACTAATGACTGCATGGTTGGCGTGGTGGCTGGGCAACTGACTGCCATTAGAACGTGTCGCGGGTTCGATTTCCGCACGGAACAAAGCATTGTGTGATCCACAGATTCTAGTTTCGGGTCTGGGTGTCATGTGTATGTGAACTTGTATGTTTGTAAACGCACCCACGACACAGGAGAAAAGGGTTTGGCAACGTTTTTTTTTAAAGAAAAATAAAATAAATTTCCAGAAGGATTACCCAGGGTTACCTGGGAATGGAGCTATATAGCTACTGTCCGTTAAGACGAGTAGGTGCCCATTATGCACTGTATTTATTTATAAAACCTATATCTACTTATTATATTATTATATTTTCTTTCCTCATAATTTAATTGTGCAACATACTAGGCTAGGTAGCCTAAGTAGCTCACATGTAGGTACATAATAATAATAATTACCTACTATTCAATTCATCAAATAAAATTGCCGCAGAAGGAAAATTATAATTATCTCTATATAGTTAGATTTCCTTACAAATATTGTACACTCAAGGCCTTCATTTTGATAAAATGCCCGCATAATTGCACGATTATCAATCTTCAAAACACGTAAGGCCCGAAAGCTATTTGTGGCTACTGTTTGGTAGTAGTTCATTCATCAGATCGTAGATACGATCGCAACATTATCAGTTCAAAGATCCAATATCGTTCAAAAGGGCCGCTACTCGGAACTGGTGATAATTAATTTGTAATAAATACATGTTTTCGCTAATCACTGTTGTTTATCTACAGGTAATAAAACAGTAGCGACTGCATCTACGAGCCGAGACCACCCCTACGAACATGCCTACGCTAAAGTACAGAATGAAAGCCATAATATGTTAGTATAATTAATTAAAGGTACATTTTGTTACTTTGTTTTACCCTAAAGAGATGTAACAGCACAAAACGCTTACATTTCCTCATTAATTAATGATAGTGAATAAGTACCGTAAAATAGAATGCGGTGCTATTTCTGTGCCATAACTTCAATTTTAATCCATGAGAGGGAAGGCAGACCGCAGACATGCTTCATCGTGCCCATTTTTCCGAGTTATATTATGGGTTTCTTATTATTATAATAGAAAGAGGTCCAAATAAAAGGAGAAACAGGTAAATCTAACATTGAGAATTTCAAAATATATAAAACTACCCAAATATACGATTGATAGCTACCATATATTGCAATTTTCTGATTATGGAAATCACTGTAATAACTGTGAACGGACTACGGCCCGTTCACAGTTTGCGTTTATTCAAAAAATAATTAATATACTTACTTTGAGAATGATTGTTTACTTTTGGAAATTCTTAGCCATTTTAAAGTGAAGTGAAACGTGAAGATTGTTTTCGTTTTGTTTTGCAGTCTTGTTGAAGTAACTACGGATCAAACACCTGAACGAGAAATTCAAATCGATGAGCGGGAAGTTGGACAAAATCCAGCAGGTATGCATAAATCATTAACTCATGTAATTTTAAAGGAAAAATTGCAATGCAATTATTGCAAATTAAGTTATTTGTGAATAACAACACTGGTCGCAACGTATACATCTCATTTTAATAATTATCTAAATTACGGATTATTCTAAGAATCAGCATTATCGTCTATAACGATCACAAACAAGATCAAATCTATAATTTTGATCTAGATTCTAATCGTAATTGGAATAAGTAGCTTAATTGTATTTTGTCAGTTTTGAAATACCTATTGTTTTTTTTTAGAATCGGTGGTAATATCGGCGTCTGTGGCGATAAGTGGGCAACTGCCTTCGAGTCAAGAGCTTCCGTACATCACGCCGCCCTCTCCTCGACCGAACACTGACAACACTACACACTTTAGCGGAGATTCCACTGATTCAGCAAGTATGTTAGAAAATAACTTATTAGTATACTTTATATGATTATAGAAGTCATTCATATGATATATGAAGTCTGATGACTTATCTACTGCTCGCAGTTCTATTTCAGAGGGCTTAGTACGACTTACGAGTTACTTTTACGTTTATAGTAATCAAAACGAGACTGCGTTTGACGTTCTGATTGGTTCGTTTATTGGAGCCGGCCAATCGGAGGTCTAAGTACGAGTTAATTTTACGTTAATGTCATCGAAACGACACCATGTTTGGCGCTGTGAGGCCTTATTGCGAGTTAGTTTTATGTTTAAAGTAGGTAATGAAAAAATTGATGAGTCCGATGAACCTACCATTCAGAGCGGCTTCAGAATACTTCCGTTCCTAATATAAGTATGTGACTAGAAAATACCAGAAATCCAGACCTAAATTGGAGATATTGTAGGTCACTCGTCAGTAACTTCAAGATACTTATGAAATGACTACCTCGTTGGCCGAGTGATCGCAAGTTCTCCTGCCGGGCAAGGGGTCTCGGATTCGATTCCCACCTCGGACAAAATATTACCGGGTTTTTAAATAAGTCTCAGTAGTAGCACGGAGTCTGAAATAGTGCCCGGTATTTGGCAAAAGGCTCACCCCCTATTACATGGGGCTCATGGCATAAAATAGTAAAAAGTAGGTGTTACATTGTGTGGCACTAAGTGCCGTAATATGCACTTCTGCCTACCCCTTCAGCGTAATGTTATGATGATTACTTATGAAATGTTGATATTAAATGTTGGAATTAGTAGAGCATTCAGAACACTTTTTGAACGTAAATTGTAATAATTAAACAAATTTATTTTTGTGTACATTCGACTACGCAAATAAATAACATAAAATTCCCGTACGAATATAAGTAAGAGTTGCAATGATAAAAACTATTTTCTTTTAGCTAAGAATTTTTTTTGAATGCTTTGTTAGAATCTTTTGTAAGTGCATTATTAGATAATGAATTCGTGCGGATAATTAGTGCAAAATTGTTCGTGATATCATTAACAAATTACCTCAATGCATTTTACTTTTTCTAATTCAATTATAGTACCATATCTTCGAGGTACTTTTTTCAGCGATCAGTCTGTATTCAGTTTTCCGCCAGTTACCTGATGTCCGTGTAGATTTCATATAGGAACACTACAATTCCATTATTAACTGATTAGATTTTGAAGCAGATAAATTTTAAATATCTATAAAACTTGATATGCAAAAATACCTTAAATTCTAGTATTAAAGCCCGTTTTATTGTGATATTCATTATGGCAGTTGTATTATGACATTTTAATTTAGTGAAAAATTGTTGTCGTTAATACCGGGAAATCGTTAAATGCATCTAATTTGATAATTTAGTATGGTGACGAAAATATTGGTTTGTTTATCAATATTATTTTATTATCTTCTGTTGTAGGTTGGTAGTAGTATTATTTAATATAATTACTCACTTATAAAACCATTAATTTACGTTGAATAACGAATAGGATGTCAAAGGTATTTGACTTTAAAGGCTGTACTGTAAACCTATAATAAATACTGGTAGATTAAATCACTTTTTTGCATATATTTATTTTAAGAATAAGTGACATTAAAGAAGAAAACCTATAAAATAGCAATAATACCTGTATAATGCAATAATGAAAATTATCTCAATTATGTGTTGTATCAAATCCAAACTAATTCCAACATACATACATAACCTCACGCCTATTTCCATGGGGGTAGGCAGAGACTATGGAACGCCAATTGCGACGATTCTTACATATTGCGTGGAGGACCAAGGGGGAGACCCCTGTCCAGCAGCGGACGTCTTTCGGCTGTTGATGATGATGATGATGGCGACAATTACATACTACTGTATCATCAACAAATTCCAACTTTAACAACTATTCAATAAGACTGCTAATCTAACTTCAATTAAGAGCATGTGATTACTGATATCTTCAGACGCACAATCACTACAATCTATCAGTTATTGACCCTCTAGGTTTTACTTCAATAATTATTTTATCTATGTTATGCATTATTTTTCTTTAATAGTATTTAGCCACTTCATTTCTATTTAACCTACGTTAACAAATCTTCTTGGATAAGCCTTTTACGTTAGACCTAAATTCTCCAATAAACCTCCCTGAACCATTTTTACTTTATCGTGTTTAATTGTAGATACTATTAAAATCTCCTAAAAACGTTATTGTCCTAAAAACAATAAATATGTAATGAGGACTATGTTATTGTTTCTGTGAATATTTGACGGTATTAATGTAGTTTTAGGTCTTATTTATCAGACCCGCGGAAGGCCTCACGGGCTGCCGGGGCTCCGGCTCGAAGAGCTGGAATAGGAACGGAGTGGTTTTCAGTCAGTACGAGTCTGAAACTCCCTCTCGCCTAACTCAAGGCGGGAGAAGCCAATGGATGATCCCCCCTCCCCCTCAATAAAAGGTTCTATTTATCGGATTTCAAAAAGATGGTTTCCAATGGTTTGCATCACCATTATTATATTCTCACTACCACAATTCGCTTTTGGACTACAAATTATGTGCGATTGGTCCAATCATGATATGGTTTTTTACAGAGGGCTACACAAGCATCTCAGTACGCGAACCACTGAGTAACATTCGCGCTCAAAGTAGCAAGCCGCCTTCACAACCCCACTATGCCACTGTATCTGATGATTCCGGTAAGTACCTATACAAGTTTAGCAATAATATCTGGCGTTTGAATTTGACCCCTATGTACCCATATTAGAGAAACTTCTTTACTTCATTCATTCATACTTCATGGCTTGCCCTTTTATGCAATTTTTCTAACAATATCTCTATCAGAAGTCTCGAGAAACAAAAGAAGTATTTTTTTTCCACTTCCACGTCCGAAAAGACAAGGGATTTTGTATACATAAGTAATTATTATTATTATGTAATACAATTAAGAAACGAAACCAACAGCATTGTGAGTATGTAGTAGTAGGAATGTTGATTTGAAACAAACATTTTATCTGAAACAATAGCTAATTGTTTTCTATTAATCTATGCAACTGGCTATCACAATGTCTAATTATCCAATTATCTAATCTGTCTATTATAAATTTGTAATCAATTAAAAGAAAATTTCATAGGCCGATTACGCTATACTATTTCTTTGCGATGGATTTCCCATCTTCCGGTTTTATATTACAAAACAATGGATCATTTCTAAGTAATTAGCGAGTTTGTAATTACTTACCTATAATAGTTTTCTTGATAATTTTACCTACGATTATTAACTTCCCATCTCTTATTCCTAGAAGAGATAGACAGGGGTGTAGGCTTAATTACTTTAATTTTTTTTTTGTTTTTTTAAAAAAACATTGCCCCACACTAGGATTTTCTCCTGTGTCGTGGGTGCGTTTACAAACATACAAGTTCACATACACAATGACACCCAGACCCGAAACAACAATTTGTGGATCACACAAAGTGTTGTCCCGTGCGGGAATCGAACCCGCGACACGTTGCACGGCAGCCGATTGCCCAGCCACCGCACCAACCGTGCAGTTTAATTGGTGTCATGTGCATGTTTACATACTTGTATGTTTGTAAACACCCCCACGTTACCGAAGAAAATGCTAGTGTGGGGGCAACGCTATTTAAAAACAAAAAAAAACCCGATGTACTTACGTAAAGAATGTTTAGCCAGTTAGTCGCCCGAATAATGCTACTCAATTTTAAATTGTACTAAATTATCACGCTATCTCTGTCTTTTTATGATGTATTTATAGAGACAGAACTATTTTTAATTATTTGAACATACGTCCCATATAATAGAGGACTAGATTCTATACTTTCCGTCAGTCCCAAAACAAAGTATTTTCTATTGCAATGATTACTGTCATCGATCTGTCATGCGCCCAACGTTTGAATATCTTGATATACGAGATTTTAAACATCAATAAATAGCCTATTACGATCGTTATCGTTAAAATAACATCGTTAGAATGTCTATCAATCGGCGTGCTAAATTAGGTAATGCGCATTCGACTATTTTGACATTATCTAACGGTTTAAAGTCGAAATTTCTTCGTTTATAGTTTTCTTCCTATATTAGTAAACTCTTAAGTTTCAGATGAGTAAAAATACACAGACAGCAATGAAATCTTGGAATGGTATTAATATTGATGTGTCAAAACCGGGCTATTTACAAAATTGATTAATAAAAGAGGTTATGGGCGCTGGACTTAAAATTTCCGAGCTTCTCTCAGAAAACATTTTTGATGTCGTGTTATTTTTTTTTTCTGATTCATCACTTGTAGACTAATCGATTGATCGAATAAATAAATAAGTAAAAGATGCCTGAATTCGGTTAATTAAATCAAACTTCTTATTCATTCAGGAAATTCTAAATAAAATTCATAGTATGGAGTTTCATTTTTATTTGTATTTTATTTCCAGACGAGATGTACGCAGCGATCGAGGAGCCGAGCGTTGGCGAAGGTTCGGACACGTACGCGCAGATTGCAACCGAACCGCGTCGTAGGGACCCCACGCCAGATCTACTGCACACCGACCCCACTCACGTTGCTAGGTAACCGTTCATGTTGATAACAAAACCGTTCTTCGTACGACAATATCGTTATTTTACTGTCTATAAGATTATGTAAAAAAATCTAAACGATTCAGTCAGATTGCATAAGGTCAATATCGTTAATCGTTTTTCGGATTTCTTATTATCATCGATAAGTACACGGTCAACAAATTAATATCCATGCTTTGGTTTAAGGGGCAGAACCTTTGCATATTGTGACTCCGACATCTACAACGGCTGCTTGGTGACGAGCTTTTTATCGACATGTCAAAACATTTAGATTAATTCCAGGCTTTGATTGGCCGTGTCTTGATAAATAAACAAATTAGTGCCCAATCGCGACGGTAGTTCAGCCATTGACAGTTCGTTATCGATTTTTTTTTGTCGATTCTACCTTAAAAAATTCGGTTGCCGTAATCTGAAATCAGTGATTAAGCTGTAGTATCCGGCAGCCACATGTTCGACATTCTTTATGATTATTTATTTATTAACAAAAACAAACTTTGGTTTCTCACTTTGCATTTTAAGTTTTACCTATGACTTCATCACTGTGGTTTATTCTTAGTATTCCGTTAAAATTGCCGTTAAATGCAGTTCTGTTTGTGTTCCTGTGTACGTATCTAGAGTGGTTGTAATATGCGGTTTTCTTGTAACATTTTTTGTAATTTGTTCAGACGAAGTGCTCCACCAGACGTCGGTGCATCAACGTCAAATGCTACGCACTCTAGACAAGGTAATTTATCAATTTTACGTCACATTTTTGTAATTTATTCTATATTTAGAACTTAATGTCATGTTGTCAAATCGTGGTTCTACCACGATATGATAATGGCATTAACGTAGACCTTTGCCTGCAATGGTGTACGTTATTAATGTAATATTCACTTATCACGAAGTTTAGTAAAAACAATTAGAAATTTTTGCATTGACAGATTTTTACGGCAAAATTATATCTATAGTCTTTACTAAAGTGTATGTTTCACCTATCAGCGTCTTCTTCATCATGCTCGAACTCGACGGGCGCACTGGGCTCTCCGAAACCAGAGAAGCGTCAGGCCAACTCTCCGCTACCCCCGCCACCGCACGTCGGCTCGCACGGGGGCACGCACGTCAGCTCGCACGTGACGTCACATGTCACGTCGCACGTCACGTCGCACGTCACGGTGCACGCGGCCGCGCACTCGCACGCGGCGCCGCACAGCGCGTCACATCCCGCGCCGCACGCGACGTCACACGCCGCGCCGCGACAGCCCGCCATAGAACAGGCCCTCGCACAGCGACACCAACGGATGTCAAGTACAGGTACTTAAACATTATATTTTACTTAAACAAGCTATAGCTAAATATTAACTTTTGCTACTTAAAAAATTATTATATTCCCAGGTGACCTACATTTCAACCATGACAAGTTACGGCGGAGTCTCAACGAGAAACACCAACGAAACAATAGTTGCGTAAGCTCATCTGATTTCTACGGCTGCAATTACCCCGTAGAGAAACATCGCTTTAGTTCTGGGGACTTGATAAGACCTCTTGTTGCCAGAGAACTTAACTTTGATATCGACCAGCGCGATGGTCAAGCCGATAACCTTTACAACTCTATCGATGGCCCAGGCTACAGTGACTACTCCTCGGCAGATGCTAACACCAGTTTGAATTCAGATCATCGCGTAACTGAAAGTCCTTCCCGCAATGTTGAAGAAATGTATGCTAAAGTTATGAAGAAAGCTAAAGGCAGAACTGAAGAGTCCGTAAGGCGTTCAAAAGATTTCACAGGAACTGATGGCGAGCCACACACATCGAAGTTCCGAGGAGATGATCCCGGTTATGAGACCATCGATCGGAAAAAGTCAATAAACCATGGATATGAGACTATCGCGCATAAAGAGCGAAAATCATCACAAAGTCAAGATCCAGGATACGAAACTGTCAAAGACATAAACAAAGCAGGTCCTACCTCAAACTTTACAAACAACAATTTACTGAAGCTGAATCACCTGGCTATGGACAGTGGACCTAATAGCATTGTAAGCAGTGACGCGGGGTATGAGCATATTTCTAAGACTGATAACAATGCTTCCGATTCAGACCCCAACTATGAAGTGCTGAGGAACCAGCCGCCCACACCACCTTATGCAACGATTGCACCGAACTACAAAGTACAGCCAACATACTCCACAGTAAACAAAAAGCCCAATAAGTACAACAATTGGCCTGCTAATAATAACGATGAACCCACCTTAGAACCAAATTACGAGTCTATGCCGCATGATCCCCTGTACAACACTGGCAGTGAATCGGATCCCAATTATGAATCCGTTCGACCCAAAGATCCTAATTATGAGAGTGTGAGTACACAAGATCCGAACTACGAGTCATTAAGGTGTAAGGATCCGAAGTACGAGTCGGTTCGGTCGAAAGACTCAAAGTATGATTCAGTGCGCTCTAAAAAGGATCCGAATTACGAAAGCGTAAAGTACTTTGAGCTGTCAAAGAAAGAGCCACCTTATGAAAAAGTCAACAATGAAGCGTCAGGGAGCGCCAATGTGGAGAGGTCAGACTCGGCGGCGGGATATGAGAAAATTAACGTACCAAACAGAAGCGAGCCGAAAAGCAGTATTAATAACGGCGGCGACGCCACCGTTAGTGATTACTTTCAAGTGTAAATGTGTAAAACAAGAATATTATATATGACTTTGTTTATGAACAATGTAACAGGAAATTGAGCTATAAACATGAATATTTTATTAACAGTATTCACGTAGGATTTTGAGATTGAGTGCTTTTTATTTATTTATTAAAATATTTTAGGGACTGTTTACAGCACCTCAATGTTAGATATAATAAGTAATATCTTCCTTAGGTATCTGTGATATAATATGTATGTTATAAAATTTTTGATTTTTGTTTTTATTTCCATAAGATTTTTATATGAGCATTGATAGACATTATGTTATTCTGAAGACGAGAATAATTTGTTACGAAATCTCCATTTCTTAATGTGTTCATAAGTGTGATTATTTTCTACACTTTGATATTATGCTGATGAAATGAATGCGTGTGTTGTAAATTGCATGTACAAAATGTAGATTGTACATATTTTTTTAATTTTAGGTAATTTATGACTAACTTTATTATGAACTCTTTTTTATTATAGAGTGGATTGACTTCGCGTTGGTCACGGTTGTCTTTGGGAGTATGTAACTCGTTTTATATGAAGGAGCGTACAAACTGGTTAATAAAAAGGTGTCGTAAACTAGAAATTGAAAATGTCGAACTAACAAATTGTTTTACTAACACTTGAGTTTTTCTATTTTTAAGTTTTAATTTTTAAATGTCATTCCAGTCAGTATGTGGTGCTTTGATTTAACCAACGAACGGTACTATAAGTTTAATATAAATTAAGTAATTACTTAACTGATTCTAAGACAAGGAGTTTATACATTCATCGATTTTTTTTCTATTATAGTCATTAGACAATGAATTCAGAAAATTGTATTTTTTTTTTGTGTGTCTGTATTTTTGTTAGTACTTGAAGTAATTTTACATGTTTTATGAATTTTGGTAAATATTTGATGAATTGTGTTAAGTTTCTAACTTATACCAAAGTACAGACATTCTGTACACGACACCTATTTATTACACCTGTTTAGATGGATGAATATCAAGTAATGGAGCCTGCATTTTAGCCTAAGACTGCCTTATGAGTTTTGATTATAAATATATTATTAATAATTTATATAAAATGTAACATCAACGAATTCAATTGAACATCTTAAAAACATCAGCAATTTATTTGAATTGTAACATAAGTTTAAAACGTTTTGTTTTATTTTTTGTTGTTAATTTTGTTTTTAACTTACTGTTGTAACAAAAAATGTACTAGATAACATTTTAGTCTTTTGTCCATGTTAAAACATGATAATAGACAAACGATTTTAGAAAGAAGTACGAAGTATAATATTAATACCAATACACAAATATGGGGTATTTTTTGTAGTTTGTTTGCTGTTTGATAAGATTATTATGTACCTGAGAATATTAATTTACGATCATCCTCTGTCCAACAATTTATAGTAATGTATGTGAATGCATCCAAGTGATAGTCTTTTGGCGCATAGTACGGCTGGTACTAATGTGTTCATTTAGTAGTATTGGTTCAGACAAGTGATGTTCATATCACTCGTAGAATTTGTGGTCCTCTGCCGAAAATACCTGATGCATTCCAGTACTATTTACATCGACCATCCATTTACATTATAATATGTAACATTGTGCCCTAATATGAGCTTTCCAAAAACGTTCCACCTTAGTATTACAATTTATTTCAAACATTTTGTCACAATTCCAAACTACAGACTGTTATTACTATCTTAAATCATTGTTTTTCCATATACTATTATTATCATAAACTAAGTAGGCATATTATGTATTGATACCTAATTTTAAACTTTAAAGATTATTTTACTCAGCCTGTATTACAACATGTACTGCATTATAATTTTAGTAATCTAAAGCACAATTTACAATGTAACTTCACGTATCGATTGACTGTAATATTATTGTACTTATCTATATACTTAGTAAAACTTGAATATAATAATATGTATCATGATTAGCATCTGTTTAATATTCAAACAAACTCGAAAACATTCCATCATATAATAGATGCAGTGAATAAACTACCTATATTTAATGGAATAAAGTATGCCATATAAAATAAAGTTTATTTAGTTTAATTGTTCCACTTCACGTACAAATTGTATCTTATCCCTTACGATCTCCTGCCACCGTAAGCGCGGGCCTGCGGACGGCGAGCATGGGTGGCTCCCCGTCCGACCAGAAACAGACCCGAGCGTAGGTACGGCGCGTCACGGTCCGCGCGCCGCAAAGAGCTATCAGACCACCACAGATGGGGCCCAACAGCAAATAGTATAATAAGTATAGGGGCCCAACAGGGCCAATGCCGATTCGGAGTCGCGGAGAACCTAACGGGTTACCGGGGCTCCGGCTCGATGTACAGGAGAAGGAACGGGGTGGTTTTTGGTTTTAGTTAATAAGAGTCTGACACGTCCTCCCGCCTCAACCAGGCGGGAGCAGTCATTTGATGATTTTCCCCGCTTAAAAAAATCCCTTGCTGTCTATTTTTTAACTTCCTTGGCTGATACTGTTAAAGGGTAATTATAAATAAAACTTTCCCAATTCCCAAACTCCTATGACTTGGATGCATTATAGTATACTAGCTTTTACCCGCGGCTTCGCTCGCGTCACAAAAGGATAAAAAGTAGCCTATGTGACATATACCAATACACACAGCGCCATCTATAGCAATACTTTTGTTTTCCCTCGGGAATATCAAACTTTTCCGGGATAGAAAGTATCCTATTATTTAATCCAGACTTCTAACTTTACGTCTGCAAAAATTCAAAGCAATCGGTTTAGTAGTTACGGCGCGAAAGCGGAACAAACAAACAAACTCACTTTCCTATTTATAATATTAGTAAGGATTTTAGCCACTTGAGCTTCATAATAAGATTAAATACAAAAACGTAGAAAATTAAATAATTGTAAATAGTAATTTTAATTTTTGTATATCGCAACTAGAATATTTTAGTCGATTTTTTGTGGTTATCTCTATTTGACATTAGGAAGTCTAAGAACGTCTGTTTGACAACAAGGCAATTTTGACAGGTAGTGACATGGAAGTGGAACTGATCAATTTGTAATTTAGTGGATATTTACATGAAATTTATCTGTTTGATCTAAAACTTTTATCAGTGAATAGACAAAAATGGCAAATTTCAACAACCCCAACGATTATTCATGGCAAACTCAAAATAATAGCCAAAATTACTCTTTTAACACTTCTAATGCGTTTGCTGATCCAGCGCAAACGTTAGGTGAGCATCACTTCTAAGGATATACGTTTACAATACAAATGCTATTATAAGTACATATATAGTTACAATAAACTACATTTTCTTTCAGATTTTCAAACATTTCCTACCGATCAACAAAACTATTCATTCGACCAAAACCAGGGGACTATGACTGCCAATAATAATCAGTACTATAACTCGAACATATTTACACCAGCACCAGTGCCCGGCGAGCCTGTCGGCGAACCAACCGAGTTTGACGAACCGCCACTGTTAGACGAACTAGAGATATACCCAGATAGAATATTGGAAAAAACTTTAGCTGTACTTAATCCATTCCACGGTCAATCAAAAGCTGATGATGCTAACTTCCTACTGAGAGACACAGACATAGCTGGCCCTATTGCATTTTGTTTAGCACTAGCAGTGTGTTTGTTCCTAGCTGGGAATAAAGCACATTTTGGGTATGTTTATGGGTTATCTGTAATGTCAGTAATATTGATGTATTTCCTACTATCTCTAATGAGTCGCACTGAGGGAGTTTTTACCCTACTGAGTGTAGCTAGTGTCCTAGGTTACTGTATGTTGCCAATGGTGGTATTGGCTAGTCTTGGAATTTTCATCTCTCTTGAAGGATCTGTGGGATTAAGTTTGTCAGCTGTTGCTGTTATCTGGTCGGCACTGTCGGCCAGCAGGCTATTTGTTACTATGTCTGGTGACTCTGAACAGAGACCATTGATTGCCTATCCTTGCGCGTTAGTCAATGGAGTTTTTGCTCTGTTAGTGCTCTTTTGATTGTTTGTAAGTGTAATTAATATATGTAATCAATTTTGTATTATATAAAGAGGAGAGGTTAATAAATTACTGTCAACAATCTGTACAGAACTTTTACTATATATAGCCAGATACTTATAAAGTGTTCTTTATAATAATAAAAATATACTCAAAATTTCACATATTCCACTGTGTAATATAATATAAAATAAAATTTAATTATCTTGAGTTTTAAGTTGCAATATAAGATTCTAATAAATTGTATTTTATACAAATAAAACATTCTAATTTAAACCCCAAAGTTGTTTTAATAAATAAACTATAATATTTAACTAGTTATTACATTCGATTGTATAACGTTGGTCGGTCGCTGAAGAAGTTTTTGAGAACCATAACTTGTGCAAATGCTACACAAACAATAGCTAGGGATTCACCCATGGACCACCAGAATACTCTCTCATTGAGATCCTCGGCCCTTTTGCGGCCCTGAGCCTCTCTTAGCCTGTGGTGAGTTTGGTGGTCAATGATTCTGTTGAGGGCTGAATGAATTTCTTCGGCAGAAGTTTCCAGCTGAAAATATTATAATATGAAATACTTGCATCTTGTAAGCTGAGATGTAACATATTTTAAACTGATGTCATACAGCCATAATGACCTATGACTTACTTTTTTAATCATGTTTATCATGTTGTTTATTACTTGTAAGAATAATGTTAAAAAACTTTATATTTTTATTATTCTGTTTCATTTTTTATAAATAGGTATAAAAACAAGTGAATTCAGTTGACTATATTTGCATTAATTAAGTTTAAGTTATCAGTTTACAGCAAACTGGTAACTTATCTATAAGTAGGTATTTTGAATAGACCTTTATGAAATAAATAGACAAACCTGTGTTAGAACAGTTGCATGGTCTCCAACTCCAGGCAAAGGCTTCTCAGGACCCACATTAAGTTCCATGTACACAAGTTTATGGGAGAATGTACTAAATTCATTGCTGAAGCAAACCTTGTAAATACCTAGAAAAATAATAATATTAATTATCCAATGAGAACACGTCATTGTAAATGGAGCAAATATAACACCAATCTAATTAAAATTCTGGTGAAAATAAGGCAGAATACATGGTCATGTTGTAAATTAATTTTTAAGGAAAAATTATATGTGATTAATGCCGTTAACATGTGAATGTTGCATGGCAGGGTTTTTAAAAGAATTCAATTTGACTTATACCTGATAATTGTGTAGTAAACTGATGAGAATCATATTGCATTTTTTGTTGTTGGTAAATAATTTGCTTATTGGGACCTTCTATCTTGACATCGACATCGTATTGCCCTCCGGTAATTACCTGTAACATTAAGCAGTATATTCGTCACCTTGGACAGGAAAAAAGAGTCTTCAGACGTTAATTCTACAGTTTGAATTAGGTTAGTTTACAGCTAAAAATCGGTGCCGCAATTTAATTAAAGGCCAAATATGTGTAAATATTCAGCCAGATATGAAAATTACCTGATATTCTAATGCCGCTGATGTATTTTTTTCTATTTCTTCATAAAAACATTCTACTGCACTATCAGGTAACTCGAAGGTAAGTTCAACGCTTTTAGAAAGTATACCGTTGATAAATGTCATAAATATTGCAAATAATATTGGTGTGAAAATCATTTTGTCTAGAATTATACTCGAATTCTAAAAGTACAAAAATAATTGAAATCGTAGTGTTAAAAATGTTCACAATTCGCATCGATTGACAAGTGACATTTCACCACGTAATTGGCTGCGTTCCATTTGCGTCAGACATTATAATACAGCGTTCAGTTTAGTAAAAAATTTTTTTGGGTCAGGTCAGGTAAAAGTTCAATCAATATTTTTATGGGATAAGCGATAAGCCGGTAAACTAGCAGACGGATACGGATCACTTCGTGGTAAGCAATCGGCACCGCTCATGGACACACCCGAAACACCAAAAGAGTTACAAGTTTGTCGGCGGCCTTTTGGGGGTTAGAATTTGAGGATTGTTGGAGGTTGGGGAAGGGGATAATTGGGCCTCTGGTAACCTCTCACGCATGACGACAACTATCTGTGAGGCCGTGGTAATAATCCGGTCGAACCGGCCCATTAGTGGCAAAGCATAGCTTTTCACACTTAAACTTAATTAGGTCTTTGCCCCACCCACACTAAACACTTATTGGATTCTAGTCGAGTATTCTTCTTTTATAAATAAATGGCGAAATATTGTAGTGCCCTTTTTTTCCTAGCTTTTGAAGAAAAATACAAGGAAAACGATCGAGACTATTTATTTCCTGCTGTTACGGGCACTTATACAACGTACGCCCACTGTCGTTACTAGCACATTTTATAAATGAGTCTACTTCTGTAAAGGTCGTCGCTACCAATGTCCTATGGAGCTCTGTCTTTATGAGGAGTGATGGAGGAGTGTCACTCAAAGGCAATATTTTAATTAGCTAGATTTTTAGAACTAGGAGGAAAACACCAGTCTTAAGTTATCCTTTTTAATAAAATTATAGGTATCATCATAGTGTTTGACGTTATAGAAATAGGTCCATTCCAGACCAAAGTCCGTCCCACGAGTTTTTTTTTGAGAGGGGAAATTCGTCTACTTACATAGTTACTTCTCCGGGTGTGCGAGATGGAGTGTCAGAATCTTATTGACTATAAACAACTTCGTTCCTACTCCTGTACTTCGATCAGGAAATATGATTTTTAATCGTTAAGAATACAGATAAGAATTTATTTTTTATTAGTTACGATCTCTAGATTTTCATTATAACTTTCGTAAGACATATTTTTTATTTTTCGGCTTCCTTACGTATAGGATGCTATGTTTGTCAACTCCGGCTTCGATAGCGGATTGAGTGGGTAGCGGCAATCCTCAAAACACGTAAAACCATGTTTCTGTCGACATCTGCCGACTAGTAGGTATCTAACTACAGTTAATACTCTAATGTACTGTTATAACTTATAAGCATAAAATTTTGTAGAAAGACATCGTCACTTGTTCACAAAGTGATGGATTGACTTCGACTGATCACATAAATATGAAAAAATTGGGCGCTTATCTGACGTTATAGTATTTTTTTTTTTTAAGGGGGGAAAATCATCGAATGACTGCTCCCGCCTGGGTGAGGCGGAAGGGAGTATCAGACTCTTACTGACTAAAAACCGCCCCGTTCCTTCTCCTGCACGTCGAGTCGGAGCCCCGGTTACCCGTTAGGTTCTCCGCGACGACGTTATAGTATAGACTTTAGCTGGCTGTACCAGCTGATGATTCCCTTTCTTCAAATGATTATGCCAATGTAAAGTAAATAAGTCTCCAATCAGGAGTCAACGGCTGGAAAAATAAAACTTTGTTTGATGTTGGGGCGGCTGCCACTACTCAACCCATCACCACCAGTACCGCAGCTGATGCTCACTCTCATACTTCCGCTCGTAACTCAGTCCGTAGTTCCGGACCATAAGTCTGGACTGAGATTTCCATATGTAAGTACATAGACAATTTCCGATTTCATTTGCAATGTCAGTCTAGATAATAATTATTATTGTTTCATAAATTATCGACTGCCGCCAGAAAAAGAAAAAGCATCAATTTTAGGCAATGTCTTTATTCATTGGATTTTCGATGTATATCAATGCAATAAAGTTGAAGATGTAATAGAGAAATTTGACAGAAAAGGATTTTGCTGGTCACTGCATGCTGGCCACCGTACCTACCTATGAATTTAGTATTTACCTACATTTATTATGGTACCTTTTAATCAGTGAGTCTTTGATTAGGCGAGAGACACTCTTGCCCAAGACGGAAGAAATCATAGGATGATTTTCCCCCCTCAAAAAAAAGTATTTAGGTACATAAGAAACGTTTATGAAAGGATTATAAACAAGTAATATTAATAAAACAACACAAGTTAGGAATAACAGTAAAACAATTTATTCAAAATTCAAGACGATACAATTGGAAAATTAAATTTTCACTTTAAAAGTTTAACGATTCGCTTAACAATAAAGTAAAAAGCCATGATTCCAACAAACAAAAATACTGTGATAATAATGTCTTAAAAATTACACTTATGTGCATAGGGACTAAAATGAAGTCAATAAAATGCAGACAATACTTCAATTTATCTAGTGAGTGTTTAGAATGCAAGTCCAGCGTCGGCGTACGTGGTGAAGATCTTCTCGATGGAGTTGGCGTACGCCGCTGTTCTCAGATCTAAGCCCAGGTTGAACTTCATGGCAGTCTTCATGATGGCCTGTTAAAGAAATAATAATATGAGTACCTACACATTTTGTTTTAAGCGATGCCTCATTCACACTGGATTTTCTTTACTGTGGATGCGTTGATAAACAAATTAAAACATTATTAATTTACTAATAACAAAGAGTTGTTCTATGTGGGAAACTGGGAATCGATCCCGCTACTCGTTGCGCATTAGACGATCAACCAATTAAGTACTTATCTATTATCAATGATAAACTACCTACCTAACACTTAAAAGCCAAAGATAAAATAGAAGTCACTTACCCTAGCCGATCTCTCCATGGTGTAGTCGAGACCAGAGTGCACGATGTCTTTTTCGGAGGCACCAGAAATCCTCTTCTGGAAGGACTCGGAGGGTGTGACTGGAATGCGACCTCCGACGCGGCCGAAACGCCTCTCCAACGACTCCTGTACGGATTCTGTAAAAATAAATGCATTTTATATAGTAACGGGTATTTTTATTATTCGAAGGTGACTAAATTGTTAAAAATCTCCTGCTGTTTAATCTAAGCAGGTAATACCTACTAGTACTACAGTCAATACTATTTTTTTCTGAGATTTAAGAATTGCGAGATTGGCAGCTAAGTTTGAGAATAACAAGACAAAGTATTTATTCTTAGTAGAGACCAAATATACCTAGTAGGTACTTGCCGAATAATAAATATTTTGCTCTGACAAACCCAGACTTAGCACAATAGAGTAAAGGAAGCTGTTGACCTTCTTTTGTCATAGAACAAACAGATAACGGTAGGTACGGCAAGCTGCAACGTTTGCGGTCCTTCGTAAACACCGATACAGGATTTGTACAAATAATAAATAGCTTCAATATTCTATATAGATACCTACTCTAGAACAGTTTTTGCAATCGATTCTTAAAGGAAAAATGTTCATATCCCATAGTCGGTTTGCATTTAATGGATGCTCAAAAACGAAAAATATTGACCCTAGTACTCTAGTGAATAATGAATCTGAAGACAACCATCAGAACACACATAAACAATAAAAAAATCTAATATAAAAAATCATACCCAGGAGGTGGTAGTTGGACTCGCGCTCATATTTGAAGGTGAGACGTCCATAGGACACGTGGTTCAGATTCTTGAGCCACTCGAAGAAGGAGACGGTGACACCACCAGCGTTGATGTACAAGTCGGGGATGACAAGGATGTTGCGGTCAATCAGGATCTTGTCCGCCGCTGGGGTCGTGGGACCGTTGGCGGCTTCAGCGATGATCTGCAAAGAAAAGAGGAATTTATTAGATATTGACGTGACAACGTCTTAAATTAGGTTGCGGCTGGGAGTCACTTATGAAAAAGTGTAACGCTCGGTAACGTTACGATGAGTCACCGAACGAGAGAGAGGCCCGCCGAATGCCTTGCGTCTCTCTCCCACTCAACTATGATCGGTCTGCCGCGCGCGCAGCACTAGTTCATTCAATTCCTTGTTCCTATTGTGCAATTTAATTATATTCATATCAATAAATATTCTACCGAGAAAAAGACGTTGCCACGTAAAATCTTCGCCCGTAAAAACGACTTTACAGGCAACCATTTTTTTTTTAATGAAGCCTAAACAAGCACTTTGGAAAAGTTACCATTAACGATTTAATCAATTTAACGGCCGAGCCTATGTCAAACTTTGCGAGTACCCACTAGGTAACTTCGAACTCGATTAATTTTCGATTTTTGTAGTACCTACCTATAATATTTCAATATAATACAGATAGTTCTTATTCTTAAAAAAAGAAAATTCTACTACCTTTTTCAACATGTAAGTATACCTAATAGTTTCCTCTGCCCATTTCGCTACGTACCCCAATGATTAAATTAAAGCCACTGTATCCTTAAATAATTGAGTTTGAATATTTGATTTAGGTCGTAGAGTGGCCGCTTTGAAGTGTTGATATAGGACTGAGTGCCTAGCGACATGCGACATAAATATATCAACTAAGAAGTTCAGGTCTTTGAAATGCCTAAAAGTACTTCCAATACTTATTAAAATATAGCATAACGTTATACCTTTCACATGAGTTACAGTTAGGTCGGTTATTCTGCGCTTATGTTAAGAGACCCATTTAGTACGGCTTAGCCAATTGCATAGAATAACAACTGAAATAGTCTATTTACACTATCCGTTCATAAACTTTCATCATTAACAGTAAAAACGTAATCTCATTTACTATAGTAATTAATGTCGTTTACAGCATTAATCTTATCAGTGGGCAAATGAGAGTTATACTAAAGTAGGTACCTACTTAATTTGAGTAAATTCCCACGTTATGTAATTAAAACGATAACGAAAGATATCAAGGTCTTGGGCAAAGTTAATAGGTCCCCAGTACATTAGGTATTTGTTGAAAGTGAGATAAATATCAAGGTAAAACCGATATTGTGGGTTGATAATTAAATTAAGCATTTAAATGTTTTTTAATGTGGTCATGTCTTTATTATCCTAGAAAAGTGTGAGTTATGTGTGGTTGATTTGAGCATCAAATAAAAATTGCATCGAAATAATAATTCTTGGCCAGTGACCAAAAAAGTTATTAAAAGAGGACCATTACATTCTGATAAAAATAGGAACCGAAATAGGAGCCGTGCATGCATAACAGAATTTGAGTTGACCTTCTTTTTGGGTTCAAATTGTTTATGATGCATATGGAAAATGTGGAGAAGCCTTTATTGCAAAAAAAAAAACAGATCCAGAATCCCGTACTGTCATCTAACTTTCTTTCTTTAGTATTAAATTTTGTGTGGTTTCTAAAGATCTCATATTAAAATCTTACCTTAGCGTTGATCTTGTGAGCGTTCTCCTTGTGGATGACCTGTTCAATGGCGGCGGGCACCAGGATGTCGCACTTCTCGTACAACATGTTCTCGCCTTCGTAAGCCTTGGCTCCGGGGAAACCGACAATAGTGCCGTTCTCGATTCTGTAGTCCTCGAGGGCCTAGAATTAATTAATATTATTAATTAGGTATTATAATGGTATTTAGTGCCTCAAAAGGGAAGGCTAATCTACAAGCGTAGCTAGGGTAATGTCTTATCTACAACCAAGTACAACACTATTTCGCGAAAAAAAAAAACAAAGGACTTGGTGTAACATCGAGGATTCACACTTTATACTAACACCGACCGCCTAATACTGTTTGGGGAACAAAGATAATAAGTTTGCACAGCGAAATACTTAGAACTTATTAATTACATAAAATTGCCCGTTATTTGTAAACATAGATTAATGGACGGCACAGATATGATGCCAAAAATTTTACCTACTCATTTACAATATGCTGGTTTTTAAAGTTTCTAGTTACAAAGATACCAGTGAACTCCCACGAGTTTAGGAGAAATATTGCGTAGTAAATAGATATGAAAGTGTAAACAACACACTTGAAAAGAGCTTATAAAACTAATCCCTATTACTATTAGAAGTGTCCACGTTTTACGACCTGATTACATTATCTAATATCTATTACAGCCAACTTGATAATCAATCGGTCAGGCGATTCAACCGCAGCCGCAGGTACCTAGTAGATACGTTATCATAGTATTTAGTTTCATAGTAACTTTTACCCAATTTCATGTGCGTGTTTATTTTAGGAGATAAAATGCCTTTGTTCTATAGCTTTGTGTTTTTTTGCTTCGAAATTATTTGGGTGATTTCAACCCACTTATAAGGCGAATTTAATTCATGATAGATGGAATAGAAGACGATGACCAAGAGGAGGAGGACAGATAGATAGAGACAAGGTAGATAGATGATAGTGAGGAATAAAGTGAGAGAAGAGTTTTATGAAGTTGATGAAGATGATGAACTTGATGAATCGGAGACCGGAGAAGGAAAGAAGACATAAGACATAACATCACGCCTTTTATCCCCGAAGGGGTAGGCAGAGTTGCATATTTTGCCACTGTACAATGTAACACCCACTTTTTCACTATTTATGTTATGAGTCCTATGTAATAGGGGTGAGCCCATTGCCATATACCGGGCACAATTCCAGACTCCGTGCTACTACTGAGATTTTTTTGTAAAACCTAGTAATAGTTTGCCCGACAAGGGAATCGAACCCGAGACCCCTTACCCGTCATTCGCACTTGCGACCATTCGGCCAACGAGGCAGTCATAAGTCATAAGAAAGAAGACGAGCTGGTACCCATAATACTGTCTCAAAGCAGTTGCTTTTCTTTGCTCTTGGATTGTAAAATTATAACAGTGCGATAATGTGAAACCGAATAGCAACAGTTATTTCATAGAATTTACATATTTCGTTTCATAAAGCGGTGTATCTAAGTGACCTTGTTGCGTAGGTTCCGAAGGTCGTTAGTTCGGTACCAAATGGCACAAAATAAACAGGTAGAAGGGAATTTTTGGCATAGTGGTAAATAACTGGCATGTCTGAGACACGTGTTTCGATTTTTATAAATAGGAAAATATTTTAAATACTTTAATAACCAACAGAAACTGTGTACGTGGTAATTCTATAAGAATTGGTAGGTACGGTATACGAACAGTGAGACCAAAATTGTAGCAGGTATGGATTTTTCTATAGGTTCAGTCGAAAATTATTTGATTCAGAATGTGATGAGATGTTATCTCCATCCTGTATCTCAAGCCTCGGAGATTCGTATTTTATCAGGTGGATACGTTTACAAATATGTGGAAAAACATCCGATGTCTCGCCACGTTCCGTTTCTTTGATAATGTGTTTATTAAATTTCGTTGGTCGAGATACCATAGCACCTGTGACCTTGCTGATAATGACTACAAATTTTGTGGCGCTCCGTGATTTTATTAGTGAAATATACCCTAACTAGATATTATTATGAGCTAATGTTCTAATCCTGAGAAATCGATACAGTATTAAAACCCATTTCCCTTTAATCAGGGTAAGTAGATGACCACAATTTTTTGCACCTTCGTTTTTCTTTGCTTCCCTAATTGCATGCCAGAATGCCAGTTAAAAGAAAGATAGATAGATTTGAGATGGATGACTCCCAGAGGCATAATTTTAGAAATTATTTAAACCCTATAAAAGTTTACTTAACGCATCAGATACAAAGAGATTGCAATTAAAACGACGTAGGTGGGCGTAATTAAGTATGTTATAATAGTAAAGCAATTACTACTCAGGTTAATCGTTTTGTTGTATGAGAATTTAATTACAAATACGTAACGGACGTTCCACGTGACTAAAGTCTGTTTCACGCTCAATTGAGAGGCTGGTGTTGGGTGTCCAAACAATGAAACAATTCAATACACAAGTCTAGGCATTTTACATATGCACGGATGATTAATTGTCATTGAAAATTTGATGTTAGAAATGTCGTTGCAGGCGTTTATGCAAAAACTACTGAACTTTAAGATGAAATTGGCGATGAGTACAAGTAGATCATGATAAGAGAGATGGGAGCTCAACGATGTGCAGAAGAGGCCTGTATCCAGCAATGAACGGAAATGGGCTGATGGTGGATAGAGAAGATTCTTTATATGCCTATTTATTTCTCCTCTGTTTTCAGTATTTTATGGTCCAGCTAATTTCTAGATTATACCCTTATGTTGTGTTGGGTTGTAGGCATGTCATTAGGTTTTATTTCAGCAATTTTATGTATAAAAAACTGTGTAAATACTGTTAGGTATAGGTGTCTACAAGGTGCATAATTTGTCAGTTCGCTGCTCACAAATTGGTCATAGTCATCATAATTATTAAGCACCTAGGTATTGTTACAATAAGTACTTTGGAGTTTCCAAATACACAAGTAAAATTAGCAGTAGGCGCTAACTGAAGATAATAACTTCCAAAAGGATAAAAACTTCAATATAGTTTTCACTAGATATTACCTACTAAAGTCGAGTCTAGTCTGTAGTAGAGTCTAGCAGTGGACTGTCACTGATGTTGACAACAAAAGTACTTGGATTTCGGTTCTGTAAGAATAAAAGTTATGACAAAACTTACCTTGGGGTCAATGCCATCAGGGTTATAGATGGAGCCATCGTGCTCGATGATACCGATGCAAGTGGCACCAGCACGGACGAGGTAACGGCAAGTGTGGAGACCCACGTTACCGAAACCTTGGACGATGAAGGTCTTACCGCCCCATCCGGGAGTAGTGCCTGCGTAAGCAAAAATTAAACAAATAAGGTATACCGCAAGAAAATAGATAGTTTCACGAACACATACAAACTGATGGTCAGTTTTATCAAATTGGGAATTTCACGGTTTATTTTTCAGTATTTTTTAGATATCGCAGTAGGCGTTTGTATTTTGATATTTAAATTCAAAATATGTGTTGATAAGATAGGTGGTTGAAAAGCCAATCAATCAATTTAAAAATAAAAGTGACGCGATACGAACATCGGTCATGATTTGAATTTATCATAAAACAATTGACTGCAAACAACTAACAACTTCGACAAATGATAAATGAGAACCTGACAATGCACGGTAATAGTAAAAATGGCAAATTGTTCCACGATAATAATGAATTTTCCTTCCCCTCAATATTTTGACTTATAAAGCAAAATATACCTACTAAGCTATTTTCGGAACAGTAGCAGCTAAGTAGGTAGAATTTTAGTCTCCAATTCTTAGTCATCGTTGTTTTTGTCAGGACCGGATAAACCACGTAGCAACGGTTGCAATTGTTACGAGCCCCGCGCAAACGGGGGCCCCGTAATTGCTAACGTATTCAACCATTATTTTTCGAGTGTAACTTATAAGATCTACGGCCTTAGTACATTTTTAATCCATGTCTGGTTTAGCTATGTTTGCAAAACACCGACAGGTAATAAGTTGAGAACCTTTTTATTTACAGACCGATTGATCTTGTGTCGGAGTATGATTTATTTTTACACTGTCAACATGACCTAGGTATTAATTCATGGTGCTAATGGCAACTACACCAATGGCAGTATCTATGGCATATCATTACGTAGAAACCATCACAATAAAAGTTTATCAATAATTAACATGACCATGGAACTCGCATAGCTCATAATTATGTGCTCTGAGGCAAATAAATATTAGGACCAACGTCCAAGGGGATCAGAAATCTTAATGCAAGGGCGTAGAGATGAAAATTAAACTACCTTGCTTGTCTTCCTGACTCCGTATCTGTCGGGAAGTTAGTAATTCGGACTCATTAACAATTTATCTCATCAGAGTGTCATTGTTTGAATAAAAATTATTATTATCAAAGTTTGTGTGGGCCGTGGTTCCAATGCACTCGCAAAAGATTCTGCGTAACTGTTATCAGCAAAAGTGACGGAAATTAAATTCTTTTATACATATGTTCAGTTGCCTTCAGCATTTTAATGGACAAATATACTGAAGACATATAATAAGAGAGGTTAATTGAATTTCTGTTATTCTACTCTCATTGGAATGTCACAAAAACAGAAGGTATTGTAGAATTATCAAAAATTTTTGTGGAATAGAAAATATTATATATATTTTTGTTAACCTAACTACAATCCTCATTCTGCCTGCCGAGCGTGCTGAAAAAGGAGGACTTTGTTCGGCAGTTTATAATTTCCGGTTGATAATGATGATTATATTGCATTGGTTGACAAATGTAAAGACTGTCGATTTTACGGTTTCAAAGCAATTTAGGTAGGTACTTATATAACTAAGAATAGAGTTTATAATGACTCACCGATCATGCTCATGTAATTGGCCTCGTTGATGAAGTTCTCCAGACCGTGGAACACACCACGACCAGTGGCGGACACTCTGCCGTGGATACCTCCCTGTTACAAAAGATACATTTTATATTCCTTGACATATTGTCTAATTAAACAAAAGAAGAATTTTATTAGCAGTCAAAGGCATAGCTACATGAGTTTGAAATACTTCAAAGAAAATAATGTTCTAATTAACTTAGGTACTCGTCTTTTCAATTTATACATAAAAATAAAGTTAATAACAGAGTTTATTGAAAAATATCACTAAGGAATTTACGTAACAATAGGTTGGTAACTTGGTACAATAGTGAACCTAACAAAAAATATCACGGTTAGATTTGTATCGAGAATTGTATAGCATTCTACATTTCTAAAGGGAAACAGTAGTAGGTATAGCAACTAGTGAGACATTATTAACTCTAATTTTAGAAAACATATCCAAGTGAACAAAATTGAGCAATAAAATCCCGTACAGGGGCGGACTGAACCATTAAGCGGGGCCCTAGGCTAATCGGAGAGAGATTGGGACCCAACTAGCAATTGCCACTCGCCTCTATAATTAATTCGACCCTGCATATTCCTTAATGCTGACTATTCCGGACTGAAATCTCACCTGGTTGATAGGCTTTCCAGTGACACAAGCGTGTGCGTTGATGTCCTGGTATCCGATGGTCTTGGCGTAGGTGTCGGCGATCCACGACATCTCGCGCTCTCCGGTACCCATGTCAGGGGCGGGCACATCCACACCGGGCCCTGTGATAAAGTAAATTATAGTGTTGTGTCGCTTAAAATTAACAGAATGAGAATAAACGGTGTGATCTTTTTTATTCCTCAAAGGAGGAGACGGGGATACGTATCTTGTGTCCTGGAATTTTTGCCAGTTTGTGTCCCATATGGTACTTGCAACCAAACTGGCTATTACAAGGGGGTTTTTTTAAGGGGGGGAAATCATCCAATGACTGCTCCCGCCTGGGAGAGGCGGGAGGGAGTGTCAGACTCTTGCTGACTAAAAACCACCCCGTTCCTTCTCCTGCACGTCGAGCCGGAGCCCCGGTTACCCGTTAGGTTCTCCGCGACTATTACAAGGGGTAATCCAAAAATCGAAGGCAGCAGTTCAACATGTAACCACTTGACCAGAACAGCAGTAGGCAAATTAATATAAATATGGTTTATGGGAACACAACAATAGCAGAACGTAATGGCATCAATAAATCATTTAAGATGATGTAAACTGTTTTTATTTTTCCTTTTAGCGGATTTACTACCGATAATTAATTTCCAACACGATATGTATTTTAGCCAACCTATGCGTTTAATTAAAACGTGTCGTTTTTTTTAAATAGTTGCAGTTAATAACTCTTTGTACAGTAATCATTTCCACGAATCATAACTAAACAAACAATTGACCTTTTTCCTTTAGTTTCTAACATAAATTAGATCTATTTAAAGTTATTTGGGTGAAAGTCTCACTAATTAAAATGTGCATAGCACACATAAAAGACAATAATTAAGTAAAATATTTTCCTGTACACATGTTAACCTAGATTCTTAATGTACAGCAGTACAGTAACTAAGCATGACACAGACGTAAATACAACACCCAGTCGCATAAATACTAAGTATTCAAAATCCATTATATCATAGACAAAGTACATACCTAGATACCTAATTAAAGTACCATATTGATAGCTAGTCTTGCATAGAAATCTTAATTAAGTAACTAAGTAAGTGGTCACATATCTCCGACTATACGAATGATCATAACCAGGGACTGAAAGCGGTTAAGGTATAACGGTACGGTACCGGTATAAAATAAGTGTACCGAAATTAAAGCTATACCGGTATTTAACCTTTATGCGATAACGGTACCGAAAAACTTAGATTTGACCGTTGCGACTTTGCGAGACGTAAAGCTAGGAGTGTGCGGGGTGTGGTGCGAGGGGCCCCACTCCGAGGCGTGGAGCAGCGGCAAGCGAAAAACGCGCGCCTGTGTACCTGTTTATTCGTGTCACTGCTGCAACTAAACTACGCTACCGTTGTATGATTTGTGTGTACCGTACCTATCTAATAACTATATAATAATCGTGTAACTATTAACTATGAGGCGGAAACGTAAAAATGCAGTATATGGATTGAGATATAAGTACTAATGAGTAAATGCGTTTTTTTCATTTTCCAAGGAAAGTAATGTTTCTACATATTTAGTAACTGGATGCTAAGCTATAATAAAATAAGTATTGTACCCATCTTATTAATTTATTTATTATTCGAAACTTAAATTACACAATATTACCAATTCATTGTAAACTTTGACCGGTCAGTGAGTATAGATGCAATATAGGTACTACTTATACAACCTATACCCTAAATGTAATTGGTAGGTTTGTACATAATTATCTATCTTGTAGCTATAAGATACCTAACTATAACATTTATCTTATTATTCGGTACGTACCTATCTAAACTTTCGGATATCCTAGGTAGGTGTGTACCTAAGAACATCGTAATGTTTGTTTACTTATATTACATACCTACGTAAAACCAGTCATTGGGTATCGTTCGTTAGGGTAGGTACTTACCTAAACTTTGAATATTTACTAGGTATATATATTATGTTCATAAGATGAATAGGATTAGGTACCTACCTTGGAATTTTAACTACAATTATTATTAGTTAGTATTCCAGATCGTAATCGTGATCGATTACGAGATTATTTTTACCGACTTCATCATAACTGCACATTTAAAATAATTATTATCGCATATTATAAAAAAGGTGAAGCATGTCATAGTACTGTAATATTATATTTTTATATAGAAATCACAATCCCACATTCATGCCATAGGTACCACACAAAATCTTTTCCACATTCGTATATATAATTAATTATATACTGTCTTAAGCCTCCGCATGTTTGTTTTGTAAACACACACCCTTACCTATACCTACACACAGACCGGCCGCTACCGGAGCCCCGGCGTCCGCGCAGACAAAATAGGTAAGTCGGGACGACTACGACTTTAAGTAATATTGATCTCTTCATGTTGTTATTTACTAAGTATTTATTTTATATAATTATAGCTGCGTGTGCGGTCACTTGATGTTTTCATAAAAAATATAATTATGTAGTATTAATTCTACAAACTGTAATGTTCGAAAAACGTGTACTTAAGGCTAATTTGAATGATTAGTCCAATTGACATATTTTTATTTTAGTTGATTCGTTAATTATTTAAATTGATTTGATGTTTACCGAGTAAACTTAATTTTTTAATTAGGTTGATTTTTTATTAACTTAAAAGTCCGTATGACTAATACTTAATAGTTATATTTTGTTTTATAGTTTTTACCTTTTGCTTGTTTTTAGGTTTTGGTTTTTTAAGTCAGTTTTTTAAAACACCGTTTTTTTTTTTTATCTAATACATAGTACCAAACGCTTTGATTATTTCAAGTAGTTCCAAGCTTCGTCATCGAATGTATATTATATTTAAAATATGTAATTTCGGACAAAGTGGTCGTAACTTGTTTGTCCCAAACGTCAGTACCTAAGTCGTTGAAAATGCGCCTACCGCTGCGGACACTGTGCACTCTGTCCACAGGCATGTGACATACGCTAATCGGATGTTTGACAGCGTGGGTCAAGCGATGAGATTGACAGACTATTCTTTGAATGACGAGTAGGTATTTTTAAATTTAAATCAAATACTCACTAATAATATTAGTGATGTTTGTTCTTCCTTAGGCTTAATTTAAAGAATAGACATCCCCGTCAACCCTACCGCTAAACCCACCCTGTCAAACACGCAGTAAACATGCGCAGCGTGCTCGTGGCTAGGTTGCACACTTGCACAGCGTGCGCAACGGTAGGTCCACGGGTATACTATAACATCATTACAATAAAATAACTATAACCCATAACGTCCCTAAACAGTTATATACATATACTTACTTAATTAGGTATTCAATTTAGATTGTTTTACCAATGCTGAATTGATGATGCCAATGATTCAGTAACAAAAGACATACTACATGGATCAATTTTGCCACTTATAATTCACATAGGCGCAAAGTTCTAATCAATACAAATTATACAAGCCCAAACACAAGGTAGTTACTATAAACCATTGATGAGTTCCCTTAACAATTACAGTTCTTCATCATCAGACCCTTAATGATAATCCTACTCCATCTAGGTGTAAAGTTCTCATCAATACAAATCAATCAAGCCCAAACACAAGGTAGTTAATATAAACCGTTGAGGAGTTCCTTTGACTGTCTGTCGGCTCCATCATCAGGTCGACTCCAGACCCTTTTCAAATTGTACATACATACTTACATAACTTCACGCCTGTCTCCCACGGTGGGTTTTTTCATCACCTATCATTACCTGACATTCTGTTATCACCTCATTTCTTTCTATCACCAACACTTTCGTCTTGTTCACATTTACTTTCATACCTTTCCTTTCAAATGCATCATTCATAGCAGTGATCATTTGTTGTAATTCTTGGGCCGACGAGGCAACAAGCACTGGTCGTCGGCATACAACAATGTTTTAATCACTGTGTCATTCATCCTTAATCCAGACTCTCCTACTTTCAGGTCGTTCAAACAGCTGTCCATAAATAGGTTGAACAGCCAAAGAGATGCTACACAGCCTTGCCTAACAACTCGATTAATTTTAAACCACTCTGTGTAGTCCCCATTTATTCAGACAACGGCACTCGAGTCCTTATATAAGGATTTAAGTACCCGAATCAGGTGGCTATCCACCCCATACATGGACAGAGTTGACCACAATTCATCCCTCACCACTCTGTCATAAGCCTTTTCTAGGTCTATAAAGGCACAAAATACCTTTTGGTGCTTTGATAACACTTTCTCTGAAATGAACCGTAACGAAAAGACTTGATCCGTACATTTCTTGATCTCATTCCCTTTCGAAATCCCGCTTGCACATTCCAGATTTTACGCTCAGTTACATCCATCACTCTTTCGATCAATACCTTGGCATACAACTTTCCTACTACGCTTAGGAGGCTTATACCGCGATAATTTTTGCACTCCTGCTGTGATCCTTTTCCTTTATACAGTGGCACAATTACGACCTTGGCCCAGTCTCCAGGGACACGACCGCACCGAACGGGACGGAACACTTATTAAAAATTAGATACACCAGGCTTGCAATTACACCTCCACCCTCTGTTAGCATTTCAGTAGTTATCCTATCACATCCCGCTGCTTTACCTACTTTCAAACTCTTAATGGCTCTCACAATTTCATCAATATTTATTTCTCTCACATTAGCACTTTCATTTTCATCGTTTACTTCCTCTTCTTTCAAATCACTCCTTTCAAATAAATTCTCGAAGTATTCCTTCCACTGCTTTAAAACATCCTTACTTTCTCCAATGACACTCATTTAGATCCCTTATCGTACTTACTTTCGAGTCCCCCACTTTGCCTCTGGCCTTTCTAACTAAATGCCAGAATAGTTTAGCGTTGGCTCGAAAGTTCTGCGAAAAATTCCTTTCAAACTTTTCCTTGCATTCATTTTTCTTCTTGTTAACTACCGCTTTTGCTCTCTTTTTGAGACTAATGTACCTACTTTTCTATCATACTCATCATTTCTAGCACTCTTCTATTTGCCTTTGAGGCTAATAAGTCGAGCCATGCTTTCTTCTTTTGCTCTATCACCTCTTTTACTTCATCATCCCACCATTCATTCCTCTTGCTTCCAGTGTTATTTTTCTTGCTTACCCCACATACTTGAGTAGCTACTGCGATCACTCCATCCTTAAATTCCTTCCAAAATTCTTCTATATTCCTTTCGTAACCTTTCATTAGCTCCCAAAACCTTTCATTTAATAGTTTCCTGTACTGGTCCCTAGCTGCCTCTTCTCTCAACCGTTCAACTCTCACTCTCTCGGTTCCAAGCAACCTTACCCGTGGCCGATGTCTCCACTTCATTGCCAGTCCAGCTATTCTAGTAATTACTAGGAAGTGGTCGCTTCCGACATTCGTGCCACGGTAAACCCTTGTATCCTTCAGTTTTGTCCTCAGGCGTTCATCAACAATCACAAAATCAATCGTACTTCTTTCTGTATGCCTCTGCCATGTATACAT